TCAACAAAGAATAATGTTTTGCCTTCAACCATTGAGTATACATTCTATGAATTGAAAGTTATCAGTAAGCTTTTGTAAACATGAAGTTATCTCTACTTGTGTATCTGCTAATGATGAATATATCTCTTCGTCTGTGGAACAGCATGTTTGTTTTCTTTCATACTAAAACATTTGAAAGAGAAAGTGTTATTAAGGTTGTGATAACTCACAGCACTAGGAACAAAAAGCTCTTTCTCTACTACACTATATGTGCCTTCAATAGTAGTAACTCCTTGTGTCTCCTGCAACAAACATTTCAATGATATTTTATTTTATATTATATTTTATTCATTACTATACTCACAAAGTTTATGTTATCTGCTTCAGAATAAATGGCTCCTACATCATTATACAAATCTTCACTCACTTCTACAGTTTTCAGCTCATCATTAGTAACTATTAAAGAGAATACCATAGTAGCCATACTAATAACTGTCTTAATCATTACTTTCATATATAGGGTTTGTTGCATGTATTTGATGATTAGATGTCACTATAGACCTCATTTCATATGTTGGGTTGTGGAAATTATAGTCTTCTTTTGAAGACATAGAGTAGTTTTCTCTCTTTTTTCTTTTTGTCCGACAAGCAATGATAATTAATGTCATAACAATCAGTCCAAGGACTATTAATACAAAAGCTGATGCTGCGATAGCAATAATGATTGTCATTGATCCATTACTATTGCCAGTATTCTGTATAACATTATCTGATGATGATAATGAAAATGAAGTATCAGTCATTGAAGGTATTGGTGTAGTTGTGAATACTAAGGACATGCTACTAGATCTAGTAACAATGCTTGTGTTTCTTGTACTGGCAGTACTGCTGACAACACTTGTGGCTATTGGAGCAGCTGATGATTTTGAAAAAGAAGAAGAAACAGTTGGAGATGTAGAAATTATGGAGGTGGATTGAGTTAAAAAATCACTTTGGGAATGGTAGGAAAATGTGAAGTAAGGAGAATTAAAAGGAGAATACGACTGTGAATAAATATAACATCAAAAATAGGATAAAAGATAATTTAGAAAAACTTACTGAAGTACTATAATCTATAGCAGTACTTTCTGTTATACTTGATGTAAAGGTAATCTGAGTACTCACAGTTGATATATCTATTTAAGAAAAATTAATACATAAAATCAGTCATATTACTTATCTCCACGGTGACTAATGGAAAGTCATTGTTTACTGTTATAAGTGTTTCAGATATTGTTGATGGAGGAGAGCCTACATCATCCCTGATTCGTAAGTTAGTTGGTCCACTGAGTCTCTGCTCATATAGAACTAGTCTCTCTCCATTGATTCTATCACTATAAGCACCAAATATGTCTCCTTCCTGGAACTGCAGTGGAGTCTGAGGAATAAACTCATAGAGATTAGTACCATTCATTGTATTAGCATTAACTAAACTAGATCCTATTTTATTGTAATTATTGGGACCCAGTTGACGCCATATTTGGAGCTCAGATTGAATAGCAGTGTTTCCATTATTGTTAGCTCCAAAGATCCATTTAGTAACTGATCCATTACATGAGAATACAATCCATGGATAAATGAATTGGCTTTGGCGACGGAAAGATCCTGATCTTTGTACTTCAAGTGCTTTCTCTTTAATAAATGAAGCATTGATTGAATTGGCACTATTAACACAGTATCCATCTAATGATAGTAAAATAATTCAATGATACAGTGAGTGTGTGTCTTACCTGTTACTGGATATACTAATATCAACTCATCAGTAGTTGGATTTCCAGCTAAGTTAATGTTTATATCACCATAGTTAAACTCTTGACTATTTGCTGTTATACCACTGATATAGTAGACTCTAACAACACTGTTCCCTTGAGGTGGTTGTGATACAGCTAACAGGTCTCCACCCATTACTGGTATAGGAGGATTGAGTGGATATTCAAACACTCCACTAGTACTGACATTAGAGGTAGAATAATAAATAGTTCTCTCACTACCAGTCACTAGACTACCATTAGGTCTAAAGACCTGGATACTGGGATAGAGTGTACGAGTATTAGTAGCTTCCCTTATATCAATACCCAATATAAGACTGGTTATATTAGTGGAACAACTGAACTGATACTCTTGAAGGACTCTCAGTGTATTGCTCAGGGCATCACCAACTGCATCAGTATTTATTTGTTCTGCTCTGTATGTCACTAGTGGTAGTTCCATAAACCTCTCTGTACATTGCTCAGTATCTAGAGAAATGTATAATGGCATAACAAAAAATCACTTTTATACATTTTGAGAATGAAATAAGAAACAACAAGACTATTCCAGCACAAAACATCTTGTTTTCTAGCT